CCCCCCTGGTTCTACTGGATTGTTGGAGCCTTTTGTTGTGGTTTCTGTGATTCTTTTAACTCCAGCGTCAAAATGTGAGCGAAGTGATGAAGTCAGACTGAAGCTCATGATGGAGGCAGAATCCTGCATCTGAACTGGAAATAATTAAATGACTGAAAGTTGGAGGAGTTGATATGAAAAGAGACTCACAGATTCATACAAACACAAAAACATACCGAGTTTAAAGTTAATACTTTTAATCAGTACTATTTATGTGTCTTGAGACCTTAAATATATTAAATCCTTTTCTGTTTATTCGGATAAACTGTGCTTCATCTTCAAATCTCTAACTAAATATTCTTTGGGTTTTGTCAGGAGGCCCACTTGGATTCTCAAACACAATCAGCAGAATAGTTCCTCATTATGCGTAATTACGCGCGGTTATTCTCTGGCACCAATCAGCGCAGAGCCCCAGTGGACATCACATTCTCATTGTTATTACTGTATGTGTTTGTGTGAGTAGACAAGAAGATATTGGTGCTTCCAAGGTTTCTTAAACGCATTTTTGACGTCACATGTCAACTTCTGGGAAAGATCTGCGCGCATGATGGGTTTGGAGTTTCTGCTGGTTGCAGCTGCAGAACCCAGATCACATAACTGGCCGGGATGCATTGGACCATCAGCGACATAAAGCTGAACTGGCGTTTCGATGTATCTGAGTCTGCCCACTGCGCGCCACATGCGTAATAACGCACGATGCCCCTGAGTTGTAACAGTTTTCATGTGAATCTGTTGGCGGAGAGAGAACATCACACGTTCTTCACACCAACGCTGCCACATCTGCGCGTCTGTGTCCCCGCTGGACAGCTCTCAACACGTCCATGGATAAAAAGCACCACCAGGCACCAGGATGGTTGTTGTTGGAGCGAGTAACGGAACTTTTTCAGCTGACAACTTGAGGTCTGCGTTCATGATCGAGGATAAGGTCGGCGGAGGGGACCCGGGCTTCTCCACCAGCATGATGATCTCTGAAGCTCTGGCGCCTAAGCTGCTAAAAATTGCGCAGGACGCCGCAGAGGCTGCGGCAGCGGCGGCGGCAGCGGCCACTTCTCCGTCCTCCTCCAGTCAGCCGCAGGTCATGGAGACGAACGGGACGCGCTGTGGGGAGCAGATACTGAGCTACGGGCGGGTGGAGAAGGTCCTGATCGGCGGGGTGCTCACCATGCTGACGCTGTCCACCATCTGCGGGAACCTGCTGGTGGTCATCTCGGTGTGCTTCGTGAAGAAGCTGCGCCAGCCTTCCAACTACCTGATCGTGTCTCTGGCCCTGGCGGACCTGTCCGTGGCGCTGGCCGTGATGCCGTTCGTCAGCATCACGGACCTGATCGGCGGTCAGTGGATCTTTGGGCAGTTTTTCTGCAACGTTTTTATCGCCATGGATGTGATGTGCTGCACCGCGTCCATCATGACTCTGTGCGTAATCAGCATCGACAGGTAAGAGAAACTTCAAAGTGCCTGAAACTAAACGCCCCAAAAAGTGGGATTTGCAGAGAGAACAGCTGCATGGGAAACTTTCCCAGCTTTGATCTGCAGACTTCACCAAGCTGAGACTGCAGATCACTTTTATCCTTTAATCCCACATTTCAAACAATTGAATCATAAAATCAGGTCTGTGTCTCCAGCTGGCCATTAAATCATGGATATTATTTTTTTCTCTCTGCCCAGCCGTTTGCTCACTAAGAGACATATTTCCTTTCCCAATGTTTTAGTTAAATCTGCATTTTAGAACTACATACATTTTGATTTTGCTTTTTCAGGGCAAATTTTCTCAGACTGATGCTTTTTATTCCCCTCCTCCATTTTTTGTTTTTTTGTTTTTTTGCTCTGTGGTCTAACTATAACCTCAGAAATACTATTTCTTGCAACATCTGTCTGCCTTTCATTCATAAAATCACACAGTTCCCATCTGCGGCTGCATATGGCTCAGAGAGATTGTGGTTAAGCTCTTTGTTCAAGGGCACCTTGTTGAGGGTGGGTGGTTGGGTGGGGGTGAACTAGTCATTTTTCCCATTAGGCAGAATTTATGTGATTCTTCCAAAACAGTAAAATGCTCCGTTTTCCTTCTTGGCAGGTACCTTGGCATCACTAAACCTCTGACGTATCCTGTTCGCCAGAACGGCTGCTGCATGGCCAAGATGATCCTATCAGTGTGGCTCCTCTCTGCCTCCATCACCCTGCCCCCGCTCTTCGGCTGGGCACAGAATGTCAACGATGGCAGAGTTTGCCTCATCAGCCAAGACTTTGGCTACACCGTCTACTCTACGGCCGTGGCCTTCTACATCCCCATGTCGGTCATGTTGATCATGTACTACAGGATCTACAGAGCGGCTAAACTCAGCGCAGCCAAACACACCATCACCGGCTTCCCCAGGGAAGGAGAGCACCGCGCAGGGGCGGCCCACCGAGGGGGGAGAGCGGTGCACGAGCCCCGGCAGCCCTCAGAGTCAGGAGAAACGGGAAGCGTTGAGGCAACGGAGACGGAGCATTGTGAGGAGGAGGAGGAGGCGGAGGAGGAGGAGAGCCTGGACTGTGTGGCAGCAGCGTTGAAGCTGCAGCGGGAGGTGGAGGAGGAGTGCAGCAGCCGCGTCTCCCGCCTTCTCAAGAGCACCGAGCATCACCAGCGGCGGAAAAGGAAGAACCAGTCCATCTTTAAGCGGGAGCAGAAAGCGGCGGCCACTCTGGGCATCGTGGTCGGCGCGTTCACCTTCTGCTGGCTGCCGTTCTTCCTGGTGTCCACGGCCAGACCGTTTGTCTGCGGCGTGGAGTGCAGCTGCGTGCCGCTCTGGTTGGAGAGGACTCTGCTTTGGCTCGGGTATGCCAACTCGCTCATCAATCCCTTCATTTACGCATTTTTCAACCGCGACCTAAGGACCACCTACAGCAACCTGCTGCGCTGCCGCTACAGGAACATCAACCGGAAGCTGTCAGCGGCTGGCATGCATGAGGCTTTAAAGCTGGTGGAGAAGCCAGACACTGACGCTTGAAGCGGCGCCGCTGCCAATTAGCAGAGCTGCAAAAACATCCAGAGGGCCTCTTAGGATGGGACAAAACCTAGCCTGCCACACTGATTATTTTCTCCATATGTGTGATGGTTGCTGAAGCGAGAGGAGAAGGGAAAATGATGGATGCAAATGATGGTGCACTTAGGAAATTAAGATATTTTCCTTAAAAATAAAGGATAATTAAGGATGTTTGTAAAGATAAATAGTACAGCTGACTGAATTTTGTTACTTTGGCCGCTGTCTGCACAAAGCTGGCTTCATACTCTTCTGTCTGAATGGATGAAAATCCACCAACTCACTTCCTGCTGCCTTTTATTTTCAGTTTGAGCCACGGAGAACAAAACAAGGCAGCAACGCCAAGTCTGTTCAGGTTTTTCGTTCTCTCTTGGTCTTTTCACAGCACAACCAATGCCAGGATGTAAACAGTAAATATGTAAAGAGTATAAATAATGTACAGATTCATGTTCCTGCTGTTTCTGTTCTGATCCGGTAATCAAGACTGGAGCTGCTCATTTGTCGCTGTGCTTATCATATATTCCTGTACGGTTTGTTGAAAGGTTCTGCATATATAAGACTGATGATCTTTGTGACTGGCAGCTCTCTTATGTACAATGACCTACTTATTTATTGTGAATTATTAACACAGCCCTATAAAGTCAGTGTTAATATATGAAACAGAAATGTGATGTTTTCAGAAACCTTCTGAACGTGACTGTGCCTTTTCCTGCTTTGTTCCACATACTTTGGTTGCAGAGCACAACAAGCTCATTTGAACTGGCTGTGTTTGCTGAGCTTTACGGTAGAAGAAAACATTTAGTTGTTGACAGGATTGTTTATGTGTTTCTCCTCCTAAAGTATTTAAAAACTGACTAAAGCCTGGTTAATGCTCAGAAACCAGGTCATCAGGTCTGTGTCGCAGTTAACTCAGACAGTGGTGCAGACATGGAGGCCTCTGATTGGTCAAATCTACATCCGCTCTACTCTATGCGTATTTCCTGTTTGGTACCTAATGGTAGGAAACTCTGGCTGTAGTGCCGTCCACAACACCTGGCACCACTTGGACATTAACCCAGACACTGTGCAGGACGCTAGTTTGTAGTCAGTTGGTTTGCACCTGAGGCCAAACACGCAGCGCCACGGCCAGTCTTTGGGGAACACTCACGGGTGAACTGTGTGCCATCCGGCGTCGGATGAGGGGCTGTAGACAGTGAACAAGCTCGTCAAACCGACACACAGACACCCTCAATCCTAGCTAGACACTCAGCTAGTTCCTGATTGTCCCTCTTGCGTTGTGGCGTGGAATAGCATAGCGGAGACCACGCTTCAATATTGGGTATAAATCAAAAATACCTCCATCATACCTGCGACAAGCTAACTGCGACACACTGCTGTGAGAGTGTAACCAGCCCTTGAGGAATAGTGTTTGTTAATGCATCATAAAAGGCTTTTAAACATTTAGAAACAATCAGGAGCTTTTTTCCATGAATAAAAGTAGTATTTTGGTTAAAATGCAGATATAATCTGTTCAAAGCTCCATAGTTCACATTAACCTGACTCCTCCAGATGGATTTGCTCCGCATATCCATCTGGAAACCTTCCGTTGAAGTAATTTTGGGAAGGGGCGAAAATACTGGTTAGCTGATTGGCCTATGTTGGTGATAGACGGGCCAAATAAACCAATCAGATCAACGAAGCATATGACGTACTAACAGAGCGACGATGAAAACACAACCACAAGCCAGGCTACTCTTGGCGAAACCAGTCGGGAGAAGAGCAAAAACATCTTTGCCTCTGAGAAAAGCCTCCAGAGCAGTGTTTTGCTCTTCTTTCAGTGAAGAAATACTCTGTAATTCCGATAAAACTTGCTCGATAGCCACGCTAACGCTAGTTTCATCGGCTGAAGCCGCCATGTTCTTTAGACTGAACTGTCGCGCTTCTCGTTGCGTCACACCTCAACCCGCCTCAAAGCCAACGCTGATTGGACGTTCGTTTGGTGAACGGCTCCAAATTTTCTTTAACGGAGAGTCTCCAGACTGATCTGCGAGGGAAACCTTGAAAGCTCGAGATCAGGATGGGCTCACCAGGCTAAGTTCACACTAGAAACACATTTCAGAGTTGAAATAACCAGGAGTTGGATATGAAAACATGAAAATCTGATTTTAATACAACCCACACAATGTTACGTGATGATGTTTGACTTAGAAACCCATTTTGATTTTGTCGTCTCAACATGTACAGTTTATATATCTATTGATGTATATTATGGTCTATTTTTAACCCCTGCCATCTTTTACTGTTTTCTATCAGAGAGAAAAAAACTCTCAGAGCCAAACTCTAGTTTCCATGGCTCATGTTTCCAGTCTGGAACAGAAGCCTCCATACATCCAACATAAAACATCATCCACACTGAAACTCACATTGTGAGCCACGTTTTACTTTCAGGTTATTTCAGATTAAACAAAGACTTTCCTCACAATGACAAATTCTTTGATGCATAATGCAACCCAGCGAGCCAAAACTGGTTAAAAACACATTGAAAAGACGACATGATTTACATCCCTGACGTCTACATTTGATGGAAAAGTCAAAATCTGTAATTTTCAGATCGTTGAAAACATTGAAATCCCGGTTTTCAGTGTCTATTATTGGAGTAGAGTGGGACAAAATCAGACCGATCAAACACAGCACAATATTTAACAACTATTTCTGGAGTAAGTCGAGACTATGACAGACCAGATTTAGCCTAAAAGCCAACATTTAAAGAATGTCTGGTGTTTGGGGGGAAAGGGTGATGTAGGGGGGATCACCATAGCGACCGATAACAGGGGCCTCCAATTCCCCGGTTCTGGTTGGTGCTTGGAGGCTCTGATCACTGCAAGTTTCCCTCATTGCTGCCCCATAGATCCACAATGATGGGAGCTGGAAATTCAAAATAAGAATCTCCAATAAGTTCAGTTTTAGGTCTCAAAACCTGAAGAAAATACAGGAAGAAGGTTTAAACTGGACCTCCTGTAAAGCATTTTGAGCCGATCTGAGAAACCAGTTGGTTTCTGATCTACTGTTGGTTTTCTATATAATCTAAGTCTAACGCAACAGGAATTTAGATTGTCTTCAAAAGACAAAACCAGAAACAGATTAAGCAGCAAATTACTGCATGTTTTAAATTTCAGATTGAGGTTAAAAAACTCATATTTTTCTACCAATTATACTGAAGACAATCAACTGAATTAGCTGCTATGTAACAACTGTTACACAGCAATATAAAAAGCAAGATTTTGAGTAGATTTTAATGGATTACTGTTCTATAAAACCTGACATTTTGTTTACACTTAAAAAAAGAAATCTAAATACGTTATTTCTTCTTAAAATAAGTGAATTGAGGGAGCTAAGTGAGACACTTTGCCAATGGAACAAGACAATTTACATTTAAAATAAAAATAAAAAACTATTGCATTGCCTTATTCCAATGGCAAATCATCTTATTTACCTACTTAAATTTAGGGTAACTACCATTAAATATAGACATTTTTACTTATTTCTAGAATGTTTTTGCAGTGAAGATGCAAAACCAAACAGCAAAAAATTGAAATCTAAATAAGTCCTTTTTTCTTACAATAAGTGCATTTTGTCTTATATTTAGGAGCTAAGTGAGACACTTTACCAATAGATTAAGACAAGTTACATTAAAATAAGAAATATTTTATTTTAATGGAATATTATCTAATCATCTTATATTAAGAATAAAACGACCAATTCCTTTGGTAAATCCTCTTACTTACCTGCTCAAATTAAGGGTAAATACACTTAATTCAAGAAATCTTTACTTCTTTCTAGATCGTATTTGCATTCAGTGTTTCATGCAAACATATTTTCTGTTTTTGGATGTGAAGAACAATCATCAGCTGTTAGATTAAAGGAACGTTTCTGCTGCAGTTTTAGAAAACTGTTGTTCTTTGAGTGAAGTAATCGAAGAGGCTGAAGTTTAACCTCCTGCTGTCTGAGCTGCTGAAAATTCCTCCTCATTAAAGGGACTTTCTCTGCAGCGGGAGATGGAATATTACTGGGTGGAAAAAATCTCTTTTCTGAGGAAGTGGATCTCTATAACTGCTTCCTTCACTCGTCCGTTAATCATTAATTAAAGCTGCTTTGTGCAGGAATTGAAAAACATAGAAAAACCAATGAGGCTTTCAGGCTTTAATCATTAAATGGGACAGAATCAGATGCTGCCACTCACTGAAATCTTCCTCACATTCAAACTCAGGAACAGTCAAAGATTTCTGCTTTAGCGTCTTTATTTCTGCAGGAATCAGTGTCCGCAGTAAAAGCCGGTTGTCTGGAGTTTCATGGTCTGCTAAATGTTCCCGGATCTGTGCGGTCATGCATCAGAATCTCTGAACTGGACTCTCTCTGGGCTCGCAGCCATAGTGGCTGCGGTCCATGAGCTGCCAGAGCAGATAAGGAGAGCGGCGGCCAGTGGGCTCACATGGTCTGCATGTTTCTGACAGGAGTTTTCTAAATCTCTTCACAGTTTGAAACACATTCATCAACCTCAATGCTTTGAAGAGCTGCGATGGCGTGGAGACGCAACAGATACAGATCTGGGGTCTTTTGTAGAAGATCAGACCTTTGAAGAAAAAAATAATAAACTTTCTGCTTAGAGATCATCTGACTGCTTCCTGCTCAGCTTTTCCTCTGAACAAACTGTTTATTATTGTTCTTTCACATTTATGGACCATTTCTGTGGTCTTTCTCCTTTCCCAGCCCAAACCATCTTAGCCTTAAGAAAGAAGCTGCAACCAGTGTAGCAAACATTTGAAACAAATGAGATAATTTGAGTGTTTTTATGTATTTATGTCATGTAGACTTTCTCCCGTTTCATTCAAACATGTTTTTTTTTTTTCTCAGCTTCCAGAATATCCTCCAGAATTAAAGAGCTCAAAGTTTAATCCTGAAAATGTGCATTAATAAAACCAATTAAGCAAGATGTCAGACTCAAAACTCTTGATTTTTTTTGTTTTAAGAACATTATGGAGGCTGTAATGAAAAATGCAGATTTTGTAACTTTCTACCGCAGCCTTTCCATAAAGCAAAGCCAGAGATGAGCCTTCTGTAATGGGAGGATGCAGGCGCCATGAAATCATTCACTTTTTCTGAGGAGTGGAATAAACGAGAAATCTTTACTATGTTTTTATCAAACTTTAAATACTGAGATTCTTCATGAAGCACCGAAAATCCTCTAAAAACTACATGTAGGATGCAAACGTATTTTATTTTGTGTATTGTATAAAAAATTATCATATTTCATCATCTGCACTGAAATTGAAATGGTTTAAAAGAAGAAGAAATTTCTGGTTATGTTTAAATTTCTCTGCTGTGACATCAGCTGGTTTCAATAATCAAATACATAA